CGAGAACACAGACGCCAAAAGCACCGACCAGAGCACCACAATCGTCGGCGTCCTGTTCTGTCGCCCCATCAAACCCTTCAAGAACGGGTACAAATGGAGTATAACCCAGAACGCGAAGAACACTTTCCCGAACAATGGCCCCCAAGCTTCGTAGCCTTTGTTCAACGCGTCGGAGAACCCTGCCACCACCCCGACTATGTTCACGATCAAGAGGGTCGTCGGAGGGATGAGAACCGTCGTCCATTTCACCATGTAGAGCTCTCCAAACTCGGCGTCCTCTGCCGCCTTGGTCGTGACCGTGAAGTTCGTGTCGATTCCGGCTAGCATTTTCAGGAAGCCTTGGAATACGGCGAAGAGATGTGCGGATACGCCTCCGATCACCCAGAATTGCTCGTTGCGCCATAGATCCTCGATGCTCACCCCGCTCCATCGCAGCTCCAGAACCGCGGTCAGGATGATGGACATGAAGAGGCCCAGGAAGAGCACGCTCGCCAGGTTCGACAGCTGCAATCAATTCATCAGCCTCCGAGGGTATGAGGTTAATTATGGATCTTATATCACTCTCTTACCATTGAATTGAGAACTAGTTATAATAATTTCGAAGATTTCTGATTTTCTCGTACCGTTGGGATGATGAATTTGCCAGTGAGAAGGCAAATGGCGGGGATCAAGCAGTAAGCGATTAGAGGGAGGGAAGTGAAAGGGTAGACAATGGTGTTGATGTAGGCAAGTCTTTGTAGCCACCTGAGGCGGCCGCCTCCAAAGCCATACCAGAGTGGACAATGTCTGCTCAAGAAGATTTCGACTGAGCCAAGCGCCCATCTCAGAACCTGGTGAAGTCTGTCAGAAAGATTGATGGGTGCAGAACCTTTGAATGCTGGCCGCGGTGGCATGCAGTAGATTGATCTCCATCCGCGGCAGTGCATCTTGAACCCGGTTAGGATGTCCTCCGTCACTGACCCGTAGATCCAGCCAATCTGCGGGGAAAAAGTGTTAAGATTCAGCATCTTGGTCCAGTTTTGATCCTCATCTTTCATCTATTGTTCAGCATATGGTTGAGAGTTCATACCTCTTTGCCCCACTCTGTCTTTTCCTCATAGCTGCAGCTGATGACATGAATGGCTTCCTTGATGAGTGTCGACGAGTTAACTGATTCGGGTACCCCTCCATTCTCCATCAATGTAGACTCGATGAACACTGACGACAATCCAAAAGTTTTCTCAAAGCTCCTCTGGGACATCAGCATTGATCTCTCGTACTCATCATAGTCTGCAGGGTAGAGGAGAGAAGAGGGCGAGAAAAAGAGCCAGACTTCAGCAGTAGTAGTATTTGCTGTTATTTACTTCTGCGTCAAGTAACCATTGGATTTGAGTTTCCGGCTGTGATTACTTACTGTCGATCTCATGAAGATTGAATATGGCAGCATTGAGCTCCTCTCTTTTTGCATCTTTATAAAGCTCGCTTGCGTCTAACTCAGCCTTCTTCTTTGATGGGCAGCAACAAGAGCAGCAACCACACCATGAACACGATGACGATGAGGAACTCTTGGTTAAGGTAGGCATCGAAGGAGGTCCGTATCCATAAAGTGCTTGCCTATTGAAAACACAACCTGTTCCCACGTAAACCGGTCCTTGAATCCCATCCAGTCCTTTCATGTTTACCTGTAAATAAGAAATGGGATTCCAGAATTGTCAAGAGAATAAGTGCAGCAAGACTACAGTTGCTTGTTGAAGAGGTATATTGATCTGTACTTACATCGAAGAAGACAATGTTGCGATTGGCATATCGATCACTCTTGTCAATACCATCGAATCTTTGAGGGAACTGAACGTAGCACACATCTCGACCAACTTGTGGATCCATTAAGAAGCACATTGCCTCCCTAACTGCCTTGCTATTGTTCACATAGTGGTCACAATCAAGATTGAGGATGTAGGGCGCATTTGTGAGAACTGCAGAAACTCTCACCTGCGTTGTGAAGCCATATGAACTATCAACACTATGGAAGAACATTGAAAGTCTTTCAATGTAGAGATTTCACCATGAAACTCTAGCTCATTTGATACTTACGAGAGCATTCTCAGCACCAGCCTTTTTGTGATGTTGGTAGCCTGGTCTTTTCTCTCTAGAGACATAAATCAGACGAGGGAGCTCATTGCCATCCATGTCTCGAGCTCCAGTGTTTCCAAGGAAGACCTGATAGGAGAAAAAGAAGCCTTTAAGAAACTGAAAGTTTTCAACTTTTATAGCTTATGCACGACACTACGAGGAGCAAATAGTTTGGAGTTTCTACCTGAACCATTCCAGGGTGGTCTCTGGTGTTATTTCCAGGCCAGGGCGTTCCATCTTGCATAGTCCAACCTTCTTCAGGTGTTTTCTGAGCCCTGGCTACCATTGCATTCACTCTAATTTTGTATTCTTCATAGTCCCTCTGCAAAATAATACCCAGTTGTTAACAGTCGAAATGACTGAGGGGATGATCAACAAGCTCACGAGTTAAATATGTTCAGAGAAATTTCGAAGTCACTTACCTTCATAGCTCTACGTTCTTTAACAAAAGAAGGCTGAACCTTGTCTTTCAAGTAATCAATCTTCTGCGAAAAATAAAACTCAGGTGCCCTTGGTTCGATCTCATACTTTTTGCAGAACGGAACCCACTTCCTTGCAAACTCAGATGTTTCAGCTAGAGATTCGAACGAGAGCATGGCAGCACCATCATCAGATACATAACAGGAGACCTTCTCCACTGGGTAGTCCAAAGCCAGGATGGAAAGCACCGTGTTGGCAGTAATCAATGGCGGTTCTTTCAATGGATCGACTGTGCTCACAAAGAAGTCCACAGGAGCAAGCTCACAAGGTTCACCCGGCCTTTCAAACCTGGGATTGAATGATGGAGTTGAGAGTGAAAATCCAGACTACTTAAGCTAGGAAGGGATCACAAATTGCTAATGAGTTGGTTGTTCTGAAAGTTCAGGTTATCTTAGTACCTTGCAGATAAGGTGTCGAGGTATGTGACTCTGTTGATAGGAGACCACTTAGGAAACTGATCCAATACCCAAGAGAAGGCAAACCAAATCTCACAAATGACAGAAGTTAGCCAAAGGCCAAAAGCACTGTCGACAGGATTCATTATTCTGTAGTGGAAGAAAAGGCCAAGAATGACCAATCGCATTATGATCACAGCTCTGTATGGTGTCAGCTTGTTTCGAGACATTGGAACGATTTCTGAAAGTGGCTGCTGCATTAAAGCATCTCCAGGCCTGCAGAATAAAGCCATTTTCTAATCATTGAGCTTGAAATCTTGTATAACTTTGAAGTATACTAGTTCTATATCTGTACTAATGCTACTTACTGCTTGTCTTCCATCTGCTGCTCGTGTGGAATCTCAGCTGGTGCTTGTTCAGTCTTATTATTTTTAGCAACCTTTTTCTTCTTGTTGTTCTTCTTATCCTTCCAACTCTCGACGCGGTTCTTCCATATAGGGTTCCCAGATTCATCATTCATTTCACTGTCAATAGTGGACACAGTGCTGACATGCCTAGCATGAATCCCAACATCCTGTAAAAAAAGAAACAGTATCAGAAATTCAGTAAACAAAATATTGTTAGTCAGTTCATTCCCAAATGCATATAATGGCAAAATCACAGTGGCTGCTGATACCTTAGGCTGTGGATCACTGAGATGAGCAGCCATGGTGGGTTGACTACTACCAGGTGGCTTTTGGTCAGCATCATCATCAAGTAAATGCTCTGGTAATGAGCAACACAAATTAGCAGGAAATCAGCTCGAAAGTGTAAAGCTTTGAACTATGATACCTTCTCAAAGAAATGGAATGAAGGTTACCATCATAAGGGGAGCTACATCTCAAGCATACTTTCCGACCTTCCTTTGCCTCATACTCAACACAAGATCTGCACATTGGGAAGTTACAGTCATGGCAAGCCACAAAAAGCTCCCCATTTGGCTTCAATCCAACAGCCTCTCCACAGGTGTTGCACACCGGAGCCCCGGGTTCCATCATCTTACTTTTGCCCCTATTTTTTGCTAAAGAGAACCCAAGCGAGCAATTACTCAGTTTGTTTTGCCATGATCCAGTATTTATATTTAAACCCAAGAATGAAAGAACTGTGACTGCATTGATGTAATGGTGAAGCTTTCATGGGAAGGTGAAATGGTTGGTGGAGGGTGTAGTGTTGGTGTCGTGGGTTGTGCAGAGAGAGAGAGAGAGAGATGTACAGATGAGATTGATAAGAAGCAACGTCTAATTTTCCCACCTCAAAAGGCAGAGAGAGGGTTTCAAATTTTATGCGGGAAGTTGAAGGAAAGTTCAATTAGTTGAGGAGCCCCCATCCTTAACTAACTCAACAGAAGAAGCTTTGCTCCCAAGTGCCCTGTGCCTGTAAGGAAACAGTACACTTACGCAGTTACGCTAGCTCGGCCAATGTTCAAGTGTCCATATATAAATGGGCTGAATCACGTAAGCCGGGACCTGGAGGGTATCATTTGCCCTCACTTAACATTACCCAAATCAGGGTCTGGAAGAAAGTCGAGGGCTTGCTTGGAGAACAGGATGAGATGCCTTCCACGGTTCCACTATGATCAAGAACCATCTTCAGATGCGATAGTGGGCAGTAACTCTCTATCAAATGCAGGAATGAATCACTGAAGGCACTTTCTTTCCTTTTCCCAATCTAATCAAAACCTCAATTCAGCTAAAATTACAGTGTCGAGACAGAGTCCAAAAAGTTATCAGGATCAGCAAAGGAGTAAGAGGAAGATAACTACTGGCGCTACTCTGCAACGAACACTGTTCAGATGGAAAATTGAAAATCCCAGTATTATCAAATAGATGCATCCTGCTTCAACCACTGCACTTTCACAAAAATGTGAGTGGTACACAATAAATGGACACTTCTGTCTCTGATCTTCTATGGGTTAAAGCTGTTTTCCCACTGGGTGCAGGACTTCATCCGTATGGAGCCATACTCCAAAATGCGGATTCATGTAACGGAATAGACCTTCACTACTTTCGTTGTGTCACAGATGACAAGGTTCTCTGATTCAGTAGGAGTTGTACATAGCCAATTCACCTGTCAAATAAGCAGCAGCTCAGGAAATGAATAGCCAAAGACACAAGTCACAAAGGGAAAAATAAAAAAATGGATAGTTATGTGCATACGTCAAGTGCAGAAATGAAAACCCCCCACCTTTTTGCTCAAATTGATGCTGAGATGTAGCGGGCCATTATTGCTGCCACCATCCTGCTCAGTTGTATCACGTCGAGAGCAATCCCACAGCTTCACTGACTTATCATTCCCTCCTGAAACGATGAACTTCCCCTTATCCCCAAATAATGAGAACCCAACACATGATACTGCGGCAGTATGGCCCCCCAACATGTAATCCAGATGCAGCCTGGTGCTTTGATTCGTGTTAGCCGTTGTTTCACTACTTGCGCCAGATTCGGCTTCTTTATTGGAGTTTACTTGAGACACTTTCTTAGCCTTCGCCGAACTTTTCAACCTAATAGCAGCAGCAAGTTCTAATTCAATGTCTATCACATCGACAACACCATCACCCCTAGCTACTGCGCATATCTTGCCTGCATTGTCGATCATATCAACATCTGGAACCGCTATCGCATGAACAAAAGCAGGATTGAGACATTGTGTTGCATTACTGCTATTGTTAGAGCCTGCAGTCAGAGAAATGTGATAATAAGAGATTGATCTACATAATCAAGAGCATCATGACTGCCAAACAAATCAACGAATTTTTAGCTTTGAGTCAGGGTTTTAGATACCAAAATCAACAATTTTGATTGGGCGTCCTTTTGAGAAGTCCCACATAATGAGCTTCGAGTCCAGACCTCCAGTGATGACTGCAACATAAATTATGTTAACCATGAAAATAGCTAGGTTGCAAATTTCTTACTTTTCAGAAAATTGGAGGAAATCAAGGATATTTGCAATTATAAAAGCTCAGCTAAAGTACCTTCCCATGATCTCCAAGGAATAAACTGCACACTGCTACAGATCTAAGATACAGTTAAGTCTGAAGGGAGAAGAAGCTTTTGAAATCACCAGTAGTTAATCTAACATCTTAAAGCAAAGAATTGGTGAAGGATACACTTGAATGGCCAGCCCTCAATGTTTTATATAGGCAATGCTGGTGAATGTCAATAATCTGTCATAGTTATAACACTCAGTTATGAGTTGTCCAGTTATAAAGAGACCCAAGACTTAATACACTTTAATTAGGGATGCATGAATAGAGAACCTTAACATCACCGGCATCATCTGTAGAAGCAAGGAAAGCAGCCCTCGAGTTGCAAGCAATCTGCACAGATCATGCACAAGCTTTCCAATTAAAACAGCTTTACACCTGGGAATAACATAAACGAACAATGATCTGCTCAGCATACAAAAAAACTTCAGCTACCTTCAAACAATATGCCAATCAGAATGCCATTTTTAGCAAAAGCTTGGCTTCTCTCCTGGGATCTAGAAGTTTACCTGATTTATCTCATCCTTGTTGTAGTTGTAAGTCTTCAATGGCTTCCAGTCATTAGCCTTAAAGAGTACCAAACATACGATTTCAGAAGTTAGTGACTATCCCCGAGGATCAAATCTACTTACCAAATCCGAAATCACATGATTACAAATCTGATCCCAACCAAGCCCAATCTGGAGGATGAACTGATGATTTTAATTAAAAAACATTGCCATCCAAAGCAATACATTGAGATCACTAACAAACATTAATCCTCTCAGTTGGCTAAACGGAAAACAAATAAATAGATCGAGATATCTTTGTAATTCTTACCATGAGCACATCCAAACACTTGACTTCATTCCCAGAGGAAACGTAGAGGATATCTTCATTTCCTGCGAAATCATCCAAACAATCGCTTTAATTGAAGCACATCCCCTTCAAGGTTGAAACTTTGCAAAGCAACTACCCACATTTTGTTTTAAGAATTCCCAAACCACTAAACGAAGTTTAGCGGGAAACCCTTTTGTTGATTCACCTGGCTTGAAGGACAATGATGAAATTGGTTGCTCCCCGACCTCCATAACAAACTGAACCTCTTTGCATCGCATATCGAACCAACACACACGACCATCCTAAAAATCAATTCCCGTAAAACCAGTAGATACATACGTAAAACAATCAGAACCTTGCACTGAGAGAATTGTTCAATGTTTTGAATGGTCGTTTCAGTTCAACTGCAGTCAGATAGAGAAGGAGTACCTCGCCGGAGGTGACTACGATGCCAGGACGGTCGCGTGAGGCTACGCAACACGTGGCGGTGTCTTTGTGCCCTCTTAATCGCCTTGGCTCCGTCATCGCTAGCTCCGGTGATATCTTCTCTGGTTGATGATGGTATCACTACTCCGTGGGCCGTTGCTCCGACCTAGCTTCCTCTCCTCCCGGAGGATCCTCCCTTATTTGTTTCTCCCGCCGGCGCTGGATTGCGCTGCGCCTGACTTAATTTGCTTTTGCTCATGGCCCATTTCGGGGAGCAAGCTAACCGGGCTTATCCATGAAGCCCAGCCCGTTGTACGCAGCTGGTCTGTCGTTATATTGTGCTCGCCAACACTCTTCTTGTGCGTTTAATTTGATTAACGATCCTGTTTGGATACAATTCCGAAAGAAATGGAAATGAAATTCCATTTTCATTTTCTATTTTTATAGAATTTTATTTCCAATTTTTGTGTTTGGTATAATTTCTATAACTATGGAAATGAATTGCACTTTTGATTTTAATTAATAATATAATATGTTTGTTTTATCTTGGGAAATGGACTATGAATAATTGAGAAAGAGAGTAGAGTGATAGCTGATTAATAAAATAATAATAAATAATTATGAGACCCACTAATTCCATCTTTACAAATCCAATTCCTACCACTTTTGATAGGAATTGTAATTCACAAAACTTAGGCTAAATGGAATTCATTTCTCAACCTTCTTATCATTCCAAACATAAAATATGGAATTGAAATTGGAAATAGAATTTCAATTCTTGAGTTTTTTGCCTATCCAAACAAAGGGTTTAATTTTACCACATTTTTTTGTTCACACCAGTCACCAAACCATATTAGCAAAAGAGATGAATTGTTGCTGTAATTCCATCGTCACCGGTGTAGAATTACGTTGATGGCAAAGGAGGATATAGTCTTCTCAATTCTCAAAATCATGTAAGTTTCGTAATAAATCTGGAAAATTTAGTAGTGGATAAAGGTTTAGTCATCTTCGTCAGTTCAAATTCTTTGAATATAGATTTTTAGGTTATTGTGTTCTAATTTCTAGCTCCGCCACTAATTTTCACTAAAACGGTCTTGTCCGACCTAGAAATCTTTATATTCAATTATCCTGAATTTTGCTCTTTTCTAGTGGAAAGCTTTGGGGTTGTTTGGATGGGTTAAATGTCAATGTGGTATTTGTAGAGTCAAATAATTCATTTATTTATCATGTGGTATTTCAGTATTATTTCAGTGGTAACTGAAATAAAGTATCTCGTTTGGTTGAACCATGCAAATGTGGTATTTGACATGTGATATTTGGTAAATGCAAAGTGATAAAAACAAGTTATTTCAAAATAACACATGGTTATGGGTTATTTCAAATAACTCGTTTTGCAGCGATTTACTGAAATGGGTTATTTCAAATAAGTCGTTTTGAGATATTTGTAAATAATTCACTGTCCAAATAACTCATTTTAGTAAATCGATGCCAAACGAGTTATTTGTGTCCAAATAGCTCATTGTGAGTTATTTGAACCCAAATAACTCATACAAATACTCCCCACATTGACTGAGTATGGGGCTGGTAGAGGTAAACCCCGCAAAAAGTTGGATGGGTATGGGGCAGATATGATTTTAGCGTCCCAGCCCCAGCTCCATACCAACCCCACCAAGAATATTTCTTCATATTTGAAAATATATGGATCAAATTGAAACCTATCAATGATAGGAAGGTAACTTAAGACAATATATAGTAGAAATGCAATTGAGTGGCCACTTAAATCCAAATATAATTCCATTTACGTCAATTCTCCCTTCATTCTTTCACTTTTTTGTCTTGTTAACAAGATAATTATGTTAGTTAAGTATTACTTAGTAGATGTATCAGAGTTAGAAACTAATGATTTGAAAAATATTATACTCTGTCTTATTGATTAATAGATGTTTAAGGATCATATGATTTAAACCGTATTAAGAATGATTGTATATTTGTTGACTTATTGATATAGTAGGTCTGTTTAGTGTTATAATTGAAAATTTACATCTAAAGTCTTAGGTCTATCTAATGATGTTGAATGCACGGGAAGAATATGCGGGTACGGGGATGGGTTTGCAAAACTTTCTCCCGCATAGATATAGATATGGGGTGAGTATGAATTTGAAGATTTGAAACCATGGATGAAAATGGTCTAGGCAAACCCGCCACCGCCACGTTGCATTCGAATAAAAACCAACTTGCAAATGACTCGCTGACAAATCACAGAATAATCCAAACTGATTCTTTCATTTGTGCGGAAGTTCAGTGGAGGCGGTCAAAAAGGAATCTATTGATTTGATTCCCCCCTTCTTTTTCTGCGATGAAGCTGCCGTCTCTACGGTGTCGTATCCTACGTACCTATCCCGGAAGGCTAGTGCCTAGACCCTAGTAGTACAAGTCATGAAAGACAAAAGCAAACCCCACCGACGATGAGAATGGTTGGAGAAGGTAGCAAGATAAAGGCATCATCACGGCTTGGCCTAAACTCTTGTTTTGTTGTGTGCTAACCTCGCCTACTAAAAAAAGATGGAAAAACTTGGAAAAGGGTTTTGACGAGAGTGGACGGGGTAGCTATGACCTAATCGGAGTTGGTGGGTTTGGTTACACGACGACATAACTATAGTATATTACTATATGTGTTGACGTCGACGTCTCAACAACATCAAATTGCATGGCCGGACTTCTATATATAATATACGACTTTCTAAACAGAAACTCGTGAGCTTGAGATTCGGGCTTCCCTGCCATTGCCATGCCTTCTTCTTTGGCACTAGACTTGGCAACCAACCAATGCAAAGCTTCGAAACATCTCTGTATAGTTCAATCTTCATTCTTCAAACCAACCAAATCTCGTTCACCAATAGTAAAATACCCAAATTTTACATAAACTTTTACCCAAGTTATACCGTACGCAATCCTCAAACAAAAGGGATACCAATCCCACTTACAAAAATCACAGATTTGTGCAAAATTTCCCTAATTAAGTGCCAAAAAGCGTACCGTGACGTGATTGCTATGTAACCTATTATGCCAACCAAATATCTCTCGACCTCTTTGACAAAAAAAAAAATCATTAATGAGGGTAAAGTTTTTATATCATCATCATACCGTTATTGTACATTCTATTGATACAAATTCGGGTATCCCTTTATAACCAAATAAACCGAACTAAATGAGTCATTACTCACTACATCAACTAAGTGACTCAATCAATCATGCTAGCTAATAGCAATATTAATAGAGCCAGTAAGATGATCATGGATCATGAGCCATGAATAGAAAGATGTAAACTGAAAGCATCTCAATCAGCCGAAGCAAAAACTTGTAAAAATTTGAAAAGGTGGAGAAGTTTTGCTTGGCCTGGGATCAAGCAAACTGGGCAACGGAGAACTTAATTATTACTCCACCAAACACAATTGTTGGTTTCTGTTTACGCAACTCCCTAAGAAAGAAAGATGTAACACTTCAATTTACGTGTTTAGTAATCCAATCCATCTCGCCATTGTTAGCCATTAATGTCCTTGGGGTTCCCCTTCCTCCTCATCCACCGTTGAATAACAATTACTCTTCTTTTTGGAAAACCGCAGGTTTTTGAATGGTCTCACATCATGATATGGTTAGATTCTTCAAACACAAACAAAATCATTAAAAAAAAACCCCATTCCAAATCTTAACAACTCAGATTAATCAGTGATTCCAGATAGAGAAAAAACCTCAACGAATTATTGAGGAATAACAAATGAAAATTCAACAAACTGTGCAACAAAACAAGGTGAAAGAAAGAACAGAGCTCATTTGGTCAGTTTAACCAAATTTAGGAACTTCGCATTCTTTCCGGCTAGTTAAGCAAAACTAACCTAAGCTAAAAATCTGCTAAACGAGAAAAAGAAAATCAGAACAAGGATTCAGAGGACCAGTTCTAGTTAGATCAAGATTCATTCAAGACCTTTTAACCGTTCACTTAACGGTGCAGGCCACCGCTTGAGCCCAAGACTTGAGATGCCGTTTCATCGCCAGCGAATCGTTCAACGAAGGAATCTCGCTCCGATCCTCCCGTTGACTCACCATTATCCCGTACGATCGCCCAAAGCTGCTGCTGCCGCCGCCTCCCCTGCCACCGCCGCCATAGCTGCTGGGAGATAAAAGATTGAGGTCATCGAAACAGAGGTCGAGCTCCAGCAGCAATATCTTGCGCTTGCTCCGTGATCTCCTCGCCATACGCTTCCTCCTCTCCAATGGTGATTCCGGCTTCGACTCGAATACTATCTCCCCTACCCTGCTTCCTCCTCCTCCCTTCTCCGTCACCACCGGAGCCACAGGGAGCTCAATTTCTTCTTCAGGGGAATTGGGGATCAAGTTGGAATCTGCCCCGTGTTCAATGACGCCAGAGCTCTGGATTACTGCAATTTGATTGCTTTGTTCTTCTAATTCGTGGGAATCTTCTTCTTCTGATTCTGGTGATGCGATTGGATTTGTGGTGGGAACTGGAGAGGAGGAGAGGACGTTATTGAAGAACCAGAGAGAGTCTAGACTCTCCATACACAGCTGGAATTCAGCCATTGGAAAGGCCAGTAGGCTGATAGTGTGCTGGAGATTAGGTATTTAAGGTTAGAAAGAATCGGCTAGGCCTGCGTTGGTATTTTAGTTTTAGGTGGACTGAAAGAAAGACGGGTAGAAGACGGTTTCTACATTTCCGTCGAATAAGCTGCTGGCAGCTAATTAACAGCGCGGATCGAGCGATTGGGAGATACCAAAAACCATAATTATATTGCTTCGGAAAATTTTTAATATTAAGAATAATAATCGGATACGGAAATTCAATGACCACATTCTGAAAGGTCTTAGATGTGCGTTTGGAAGTTACCAGCCTATAACCCAAGTAACATGATTGGCTTCAAACTCATCGCAGCTTTCCAGGCCCACGAAACAGCTACAATAAGAGGCCCAATTAATATTCTGTGGCCTCTCTAGAAATATTCATAATCATTATCATTTTAATTGATAAATTGTAAGTCTAGTCACTAGGTTTACCAAAATACTTCACTTTTGTCAATAAAAATATTTTATTTCATTCACGGTCATTGAAATTAATTTGATAGTTTAGGTTTGGTCATTGACTGTCCAACTCTGTTAATTTTTTTTGATGTGGCAGCCGACTCTTATAATTGACCGTTAAATGAATGACGTAAAAATTAAATAATAATTAAAAAAAATAAACTTTTACCTCTCTCTGAATTTAGTTAAGAATATATGGATAATTGTAAGCCCAAAAAATTTTGTAGTTTTTTTCTTGTGGGTCTTTTCCCCTTCTTGGCGTAAAAATGCAATGCAATAAACCATTCAATATTTCTATAAACTAGCTTGTTGTCTGACCCGTTGGTCGAAATGTCATTTGAATACAATGTAATATGCAGTCAAAATCGCGCTTTAAAACTTAAAAGCTTACGTTTTTACCTTTTTGGGTCACCAAAACGGTTCAATTCAACAACTGGAAGGCTGCCAGGCGCCAGCGAGGGCTTTGAAGATGGCATCAAAACTATGTTTTACTTGCGTTTTAAGTTTCCGTATTGCTTTAGGATTTGGACGGTTTTCATTTTCCTTGTTTATTTGGGTTTCCTTTGCGTTTAAGGTTGTTGTAAGTTCTATTTAACACCTACGAATGTAATGTAATTGAAGGTAGAGTTGAATTCAAGAAAACCCCCCAAAATTCCCAACTTGTGTGTTGTGAGTTTGTTTGGTTTTGGTTGCGATCAATACTTGCTGAATCTTGTTTATCAATCGAGAAACGCACTCGATTGCATCGAAAGCTTCCTCATAACGAGTGTGCATCCTTCCAGGTATAAGGATTCCCGTACGTTTTCATCCAATCCGAGTTTATCAAGCTTGACCGAGCTAGGTTTGAGCTCTATTTTTTACTCGAGATCAAATCCTTGATTGGTCTAGCTCTCTGCGTGACTTTGATTCCATTGAGACCCGACTTTGGGCTCATCAATTACCCTATTGAAATCATCTATAAAAATTGGTATTTAAATTGTGTTCTTTTTAAACTCACCCATTTTTTCAATCATGCCATATTATCAAGAAATTTAGGATGTAACGATTAACCAAACTAAAACTTTCAAACAACTGGTCCCTTACAGTTTGCATAACAATATCGTTGCTTTAATAGTTCTAAAAATCAATACCAATTTAAGAATTCTACATCACATCTACACATTCAGTACTGCAATTCAATATGCAATATTCGAATCAATGATATTTGGGTTGCAATTCTAAATTTATTCTCCATTTATAAGAGCATATAAATTAATTTTACTATTAAACTCAAATTAAAATAATCAAAATATGAAAATTAAAATATCAAATAACAAAGAAAATATTTTCGGGAGAGTTAGTGGGCTAGCTAACAATAGTGGAAAAGTCATATAATTTTTAATTTTAGGTTTTGAGATTTTGTATTTAATAAGATACATAATATTTCGTTAGTGTAACTGGTAGTAGTTGTTGTCTTTGTTTCGAAAGACCATGGTTCAAATCTCGTGATTGATGTTTCTTTTCTTATGAATGAAAAATAAATAATGATTGTGAAGACATAATTCCCCTTCCTACTTTCGCTCTCGTTGTAGAAAATTCAAAATGCTGAAAAACTGATTTTCTTATGAATGAAAAATAAATAATGATTGTGAAGACACAATTACCCTTCCTACTTTCACTCTCGTTGCAGAAAATTCGAAATGCTGAAAAACTGCACCCAACTCTGCTATAATATATTTGTAGATACATCTAGCCAAACACACGTGATTTCGCATTAGTGTTATTTTCATCACATAAGTTCTGAATGATTATCTTTTGTAAATAAATAAAAAAATCACATAAGTTTTGAAAAGCAACACATGTATCTTTGACTCTCTAATGTCCTATATAGGCAAAATACACTTGTGTAGCCAAAATTTTTGTGTTTGTGCCAATAATAGCCAAATTTGGCGAAATGCCACTTATAGCCACTTCCGCGGCACGGCTTACGTGGCCAGCCACATGGGCATTTTTTCCCCAAAATCATACTAGGTGGAAATTGGCTTTTCTTATTATTATTAAATAATAATAAAAAAGAAAATACTATTTATTTCTCTCTGAAATCCAAAGTCCAAACACTGTAGAAAACAAAAAAATTCTCAAATCCCTCTGATATCCTCCTCCATCATCGCAAATCTCCCCTGCCGCAGCATCCTCTCAGCCAACAATCCACCGCTCCAACGCCACCGCACTATCAATCCAACGCAGCATCCTCTGCTCGTCCTCTTCGTCTCCTTTTGGGCATTCACCGAGCTCCTCATGATTACGTCCTTCCGCCGCCACTACCTCCCCAAATCCCTAACGATCCCGCAACAGATCTGCCTCTGCCGCCTCCACGTCTCCCTCAATCTCGGCCTCTTCCAGCCCGGATTCCTCGTCGCCTTGCTCTACCTCGTCAAAATCTCTGTCAAGAAGAGCACGCCGCTCGGATCCCGCGCCGTCCTCTCCATCTCCGCCACCTGGCTGCCGGTAGGGATGGCAATGGGTCGGGTTGGGGCGGGTTTTGTCAAACCCAAACCCAAACCCATGGGTTTATCCGCCAAAAAAACCTGGGATAAAACCCGTTGGGTTTGAAAAACTCAAACCCAACCCGCTGGGTATCCGCGGGTTCATGGGTACCCGTGGGTTTTTGTGGTAAAAAATTTACAATAACAAGTTTCTTTCAAAATAATAGTTTAACATCAATTTTCTCATACAAATTAATTATACAAAAAACACCAATCTAGAGCATACAAGCAAACCGCAAATGATCAATACAAATTGTTCAAAATTAAAGATAAACATCTATAAACAAAAGATTAATTGAAAGCTTCTTCCTCGTCAACTAAGTTTCTCCACTCTCCACTTCATAATATCAACTTCATTCTAACTAATTAGAAAGAAAAAATTATACATGTCTCCACAAACATAAAGAATATTAATTGTTTAAGGAAGATATATTATTTAATATTAAATATACCGGGAAAGTAATTATATGTGTGTGGGCGGGTACCCATGGGTCGGGTGTGTAGCGTGTTTAAACCCGAACCCGGCCCAAAACCCGTCAACACGGATTTTACCCGCGTTGATCGGGTTGGGTCGGGTGGGTACCCGTGGGTTCGGGTTTTGTTGCCATCCCTACCTGCCAGCGCTCCTCCTCCAGCTCGTCTTCATCTTCGACGCCTCCTCCGGCCTCTTCCGCCTCCCGCCCTTCTTCAATCGGAGCTACCTCCTCCCCCGCACCGTCCTTTCCCCCAACAACAAGATCCCCATCGTCGAGTTCACCCCTCTCGTCACCATCTTCGTCTCCGCCTTCTACACAGGGGTCATTGACGCCGCCATTACCGAGCAGCGTTACAAAGTATTGGATCTGGTTTTCATGGATCACCCTCTTCAATTCGCTTCCTGGGTTTTTCATAAAGAATGATTTCTGATTTGTGGGCGGTTAATTTTTGGGTGGAATTTGAGCAGGAGAAGTACTGGGAAGAACACCCGGGGGAAGTTGTGCCTCTGATGACAATTATAAAATTTATGGTCTTGGAATTGTTTTGAGATATCAATTTGGGGAAGGAGTAGACGATTCGTCGTGGGGAATGGAAAAGTTGGGGAAGAATCCTAAAATCGAATTTGGGGAAAAATTGGGGAAAATGGTTGTGCAGATGGGAATATGAGGGTAATTTTTTAAAAAATTATGATTTATAATTATTAAATAATTGAAATATATGACGTGTCACTATTTGCTTATGTAGCGCTGACATGTTTGTTGAGTTGGTGCCTAATCAGCACATTGTCAAATAAGTTGACGGTGTGAATGACACCGTTAAAGTATCTAACAGAAATGGCTATATTTGTCATACAACAACTCTAAAAGCTGGCTATAAGTGGTATTTCGCCAAATCTGGCTATTATTGGCACAAACGCAAAAGTTTGGCTATACAAGTGTATTTTGCCTCCTATATATGCCAAAATGGTTATATCAATTTTCAACTGATCAAACATGTCTTCATATCAAACAACTCAATTAGTGTTGGTGTGAAATTTTAAGCGCGAAATTGATATTTCATGCAACTGATTAGTAGTTTGATCCGAGTGAACTCATATTAATAGAGTGACAAAGTAGTAATTACACGAATAACTCTCGGGCCTTGTTTCCAGTGCAATGTTACTTTGTCAAGAGCACTTTTCGTTGGATATAAAATTATATAATCGATGTGGATTTGAGGATATATAACATATTAAACGAGTTACACAATAATTATCAATGAGCCATCATTTCCTTTAGGAACACCAATAATGATTAACTATACATTATATTATGTGTAGACTTTCCACTTGAGAACATAGAGACAAAGGGATGGAGAGAGGACAGGAAAGGTTGCAGAGGGGATCAAGGATATACGTGAGTTGGCATACAGTTTGAGTCGTTGACCTTCATTCCAAATAATCAATATTCCACTAAACAAGTGGGAAATCGCATCAATCCCAATTGGCTGTTGCCTAGTGGCAACTATATATATTAGATTAAGTTGCTGAATCATCCCACTCTGTAAAAAATTTCATTCCTTAGCATCGAACCAAATCACCATTGGCAGGCTGATTATGATCTTCATTAAAGCATATATATATAATTAACGTACAGTACTCATCACTTCTCCAGCTTTTTATTTAAGCTTCTCTCCCTCCACATTTTGCTCCCGCAACTGCATACTACAGGGTTCATTGCATAACCATCACCGAAGTTTGAGTGCCTATCAAATTGGTCCATAAACTTTGGTTTAACAAATTGGTCCATAAACTTTGATTCTTAAACCAATCACCGTCTATGGTTTTGAATATAACTAACATAATAATCACTCTAATAGTTCGTTACCAAATTGATAAGTAAAATAGGTTATTAGAACATATATCCATAAGCCGCCTAAGACCTTTTTCTTATGAAGGTCATCAATAGCGTGAACATTGTCATGACAAACCATCCAAAAAGGTAAGACACTGATGAGGGAGGGATACAAGCTTCAAGTTGACTAAGGGTTATCGAGACACTCAAACACTGGGATCAACTTCGTCGAGTATCTCTAGTAATCTCAATTTGTCATCCTCCCTCGGTGTCTCCACTGAGTTTATGTTTAAGAGGAACGTTCTAAACAAAACCAACATCGATCCAAAATAATATCAGGCAGAATTTATGTGACCCAAAAGATTGGTGACCATATATGTAATAAACCAGCCAGGGTATGAGACGTGCGTCCTTAATTTTTCTTATTATGTATGGATCAACTAACAAAATCTTTGACCGGTTGTTCAAGCAAAGCTAAGCCTTGGGAATGAGGTTTGCCAAGTGTACACCCAATCGAGCTCTTGTTTTGTCAACACTTGTAAATTGGACAAAGGAGGGTCAAACTGAAGCTTAGCCAAGCTAGCAATGTTCTTTCTTCCTTTTCCTTTTTTTCTTTTCCCAGTTGGAGATTCGCTTTTTCACCAAATTACTCTACCAAATAATATGTTCTTTTTTTCCCCACTGCTGTTCTCGTACTAATTTACGCTGTCAGAAATTCTTCTCTGTTTTGCCGTCCATCGACTCATGAAAGCAAACCCCAGGCTGTGATTCTTTCGCCTAGGTAGTAACTAACCGTACATGTCTTGTAAATAATTTCCTGCCAGCTTGGGTAGCTACTAGCTAGCTAATTTGTTATTTGTTCGATATAATTTCTAATTGTATTTGTTTCTTATGTATCTTTTTGCGGGTAGCCATATTTTGGGATAATCCTACTCCATCTGTGTATGCTTTTACCGTAACAATATTCCAATTTGTAACTGCATTTTACTTATAAGTAAATCAAAATGTTTTTTTAACAGCTAGATGATGCTAGGGAATAATTTGTAAGAATTTTATTGAAGGACCATGTTAGAGAGTGGTATAAGATCCAACATAACCTTCTCCTAACACCTCGAGTTATTGGGACCAACTGCAACTTGTTTATGACATGGTATTAGAGCTGGTTTGTCCTTGAGGTCACGTGTTCAAGTCCTCACGCCCCCCAATATTAATCGTTGTCTTCAAGCATTTAAGGGACGTGTAAGGAAGTGGTTAAGTATCATACATGGCCCGAGTTGTTGGGAGAAGGTTATGCTGGATCTTATACCACTCTCTAACACGCCCCCTCAAACGAAAGCCAACTCATGGACTTGAAGTTTGCACAGGCCCGCCATATCTTGTGCTTTAATCAACTGTTATATTGGGGGTCGTGGAGATTCGAACACACGACCACTTGGCCAAACCAGGCTCTGATACCATGTCATAAACCAGTTGGTCCCAATAACAGAACACAGGATTTTACGTGGTATCCTCGATCGATTGATTGATCGAGACTAATCCACGGTGAGCTCGCAAGAGCTCACGACTGATATTTTATTGAACGACTACATTGTGACGGCTTGCTTACGATAATCTCGTAGCTAAGCTTATATAGACGTAGGCCCAACAAGGCCCAATACTAACACGGTTTAAGTAACCACAACACTCCCCCTCAAGCGAAGACATGAATGACAAGAATGTTGAGCTTGAAGAAGTAAATGTGAAGAACAAGCATGATGGCTTGAACCACAAAACTCGAGATGAATAACATCTCAGACGAGGTTGATTGGAGACGACATATGCTCTCTCTGAACAACCTGATGATGGAGACGGTTGACTGCGTCTCTTGAACTCGAACACACTTGGTACATCGCGGCCGACCTAATGATTGAGTTAGTCGACCGACGTATGTTTACCTCCTATTGACCAGGAAGAATTGAAGCTATGTACAAAGGTTTTACCGCCCTATAAAGTCATTATGTGACAGTGCCACGTTAATGATCATTATAAATAAGATTTCAGCCTCTTTCAAATTAATCGATAAGATTAATTTCAACTTGCAAAAGCATCTCTCTAAAAAAATTTATTTCTTTCTTTCTTTTTAATTTGAGCATCAAATTTTCTCGATGGACCATATCCCCGATGTAAAGATTTAAGTGAAGATCCAACCAGCCAATGTGGATTCCAAATCATCCAATACGAATGCTAAGCATTTTCACATGGCGGCCTTCAACTAAGGTTCAAGTTAGTATCATCAAGAATCTCGATGATCCTACATACCTAGAAATTTGATAAACATGATATAGATAAACCAGTTATATCGAGAAGTACAGGATGGAGTTTCAATCTCGTGACTTGGCTTTGCTGTAGAGCGTGGAAACAGAAGGGTATATGCTTCCACGTGTATGGGTGGATCCACTTTGGACATTTGACACATGCACTTCCCCTCTGCCAAACAAGTGAAGAAAGAAATCCCACTGGAATGGGGAAACAAGGTCCACCCATGTCTACCTCCACAGTCCAGACCATGCATTGTGGCGCCCATGCCCATGTCGCTCATATCCCCACCTCCAGTCCCAGCCATTATAACTCCAAACACAAGCCATGGAAATGGCAGAGAGAAGAAGAAGAAAGAGCCAACCAATTAGTTGCAGCAATTGCTATCATCAGTTTGCTCCACACCCACCCACCAGGGCTCCTCCACCAGTCACGTCGCACCAAACTCATTAACTCAACCCTACCCCCAATCCAATCCTCCATTATTCTCTATCATTATTTATTTCCCATGCTCTTCTTCCCCGTCCAAAAAAGAAAAAATCAATCCATTCAGGGACGGACACGAACCCGACTGTGTGCCCATTGTGTACGCATCGGCATTTATGTGATTTTAACCATTAGAAGCATGTATTGTTATCTACTTCAAATAACTACGTCGTGTACAGTTAGAGCTTGAAAATCTAAACACATTTTGTATCCGTTGCTTGCACACCTTACTTTTGAACATATTTGAACAAAATGTAGATTGCGGTGGGTGTATGCACATATTGATTTCGTCCAATACCACATTTTCATTCAAAAATCATCAATCCACCGTGCGGCGGACAACTGATAACACAAAAATAAATAAAATAAAACGACATAAGCTCGTTCATACGCCAAGTCCTATAAACACATTAGCCAAATTGATAAAAACAGAAACAAAAAATGGTCCCTCCAGCTCCAGCTCCCCCACATCAGCGCCCACCATCATTACTGTACTATTCTTAATCATTATATAATGTAAGCCCACCTTCGATCAGTAGTTTAATCAAAGCAAAGTAATCCTCCCTCCCCGGTCACCGTTCCCACTTGCCCAAAACGAAAAAATTGACCCGCCCCTCGGTCGTCGTCTCAGCTAAAATTCAAACCAATTATAAACTAATCCCGGCCGCCGGCCGGCAGTTACACAACTATTCTTGTTAAGACTCACTTGTAATTAATTAATCTAATTTTTTTCTCACAAACAAAACATCTTCATGGGAAACAACAATGTAGGCTTTTTTATTTCGCTCTGTATTTACATTTGGTATAGGGTAATTCACGAACAGTAAGAAAAAAATCTTCTTACAAACAAAAGAAAAAGAAAGAAAGAATTTTATGGTGTGTGGCTTTGGAATGGATCCAACCAAACGCTATCTAACAGTAGACGCAACAGAATGCGCCCACAATCTCAAGCTGTCTTTCATGTCAATCTCGCTTCCCAATCCCAGCGCCGGAACCCGCCAATTCATCACCGGATTCCTCATTTTCTCCTTCTCCTGAACCGCCCAGGCTTCCGACAAGTACGGCCTCCTCGGAACCACCGATTCATCCACCGCCGAAGGGGGTTCTACTGCTTCCCCGCCGTCCTTTTTCCCCAATCTCTGTAGCCCGGGGAGAATCGAGACCAAGCTCGACTCCCTGTCTTCCTCGGAGAACACGAACCCTAAATCCATAAACCCTTTCAGCTCCTCGAACTCCAGAGACGACAAGCTCTTGCTCGCCGGCCCTTTCTTCGCCGCTCTCCTCCTCCCGCCGGCGGGGGTGGGCTTTCTCGCCCTCGGCGGTGAATTGGAACCGGAGGCGGTGGGGGAACACTTTCTGAGCGGCGGCGGAGGAGGAGGAGGAGGGGAGTATTTGGTGAATATTTCCAATTCGTCTCCGGTTGCTTCTTTACCGGAGTGGATTGTGCGGAGCTGAGAAGTGAGGACGGAGTCCGGCGAGGCCGGGGTGTTGTTGATGAAGCTCGGCTTCGTGTACAAGTCCTCGCTCATGGATCTGAGAATCGCGGATTGGCCTCCGCCGCGAGTGGGTCTTAATTTCGAAATCTCCGGCTGCGGCGGAGCTTGTTGCTTCTGGATCTGCAGATACATGCTGGCCATAGTCGGGGTCTCCGGCGGGGAATCCGACGGGGAAGAATACGTTGACCGGTTCTTCAGGATCTCCATCTCGAACCAGTAGGAATCGTAGAGGTTTAGAGCTTCACTTGCGTCCATCAACGGCGGCGGCTGAAGAGGAACTAGAAAAGTCTGGAGAATTCTTTCTTTTTTGCTTTTTCTGTTTGGGGAATTGTTTCCGTTTGAGTTTAATTGCGAAGAACACGGAAGACTCGTCTTATATATATGAGAGAGCGGGGAGTGAATGACTTAAATGCCCTTTCCAGTTTCTGTAAATACGACCAGTAAACCGTTCAAAACCAGGAAAAGGAATAGAGAATTTCCACGTTGGGCAAAAGGTGCTCTTGTAATATTTTAATTATTATCGTTTCAGCGTGGTGCATAATTAACTATTTTCAGTAGTTTGCCGGGTCCGGGTTAGCGGGTTGCGTTCCACGGCAAGCTGAGTGATTATATATATTGTTTAATCGGGTTAATTAATTTATTTTTAAGAATAATTAAGGGAGAGAGGGTAATGCGTGGAAGGATTATGACGTGGCTTGGAGATGAAGCAAAAAAAAAGACCAATAATGGAGTTTGGAGTGCGGGGCCCACAGGAGTGATCTGTGCTGGCGCGGTAAGCCCATGATCTTGGATTTTGTCACCCGTATCTTTTTGTTTTTTAATTTTATTTTGTTAATTTTAGGAGAGGGAACAAAATGCCAATCATCATGATGTTTAATTATTTAATTACCATTTATTACTAAATTTGTTTTGTTTTACACTGTTTCTTTGGTTACTGATCTTACAGGCCACACTGACATTGAGTTAGCCTGTCACAATGAGAAGAAAGATCTTGATGATGAATTCTAATCTAAAAATTTAATTTTTGGGAAAATACAATTTTGTGTTCAATCTCTTAACTTAGTGATACTAACAGTTAATTATCTTAAATTAAAAAAAATACTATAAATACTAAAATTTGACAAATGTAATGATATTTTTATATAGTTTAGCTCCAATTGATTGCTATTGCCAATCACTCTCATCTAACGTTTGCCAATCAAACAACTTCTCAGCGTACAATGAGAGGTGTATTTCAAACACAGTTAAAGAAAATGTTAATTTATTGTGATTACCTTAGGGTATCTCCAATGGTTAGAGCTAAAATGTTTAACGTTAGGTTAGATTTGACATTCTACCTCCTATGTTTGGCTCCTTCAGGATGGAAAATGCTGGCAATGGCCATTATATTTAAGGTTGAATATAATCAATCAAATTAGTAATCAAGAAATGACGGGAAGGTAATTAATCAAACTAATAAGAAAATAATAATTTACAGTACATTACGTGCCATCATATACACTATTATATTTTTACCATTGAATCCATATAGAGAAGAAACCACAACCTGTACATCACCTTCAAGATCGTCGCATCCGTCATGGAGTGACATGCGCATCAAAGAAAGTCGGTAAATATACTGTAGGTTATGTGATATATAAATGATATTTTACATGCAATTTGTTTATGTGACCATGCATCCCGTATTACAAAAATGTACACTAGGGGGTTTAACAAACTTATTTATAGTTTGGTGTACATTTTTTAAGGATTTGTTTTCCGGCGAGAACTTCTGTTGAATTGAGATTAATGTATCTTGACTTCTTTGGACAATAATTACGAAGACACGACTCACAACTCTTCAAACAAAGTTCGAATGAGAGAGTTCGATTGATGGTTTTTTAGAATGAAACTAAATTAATAAGTTACTCCTACTCCTATAGAGGTTCAGTGAGAGTTCCAAATTACGACCATGGCTACATGTGTAGAGAAAATATAAAAACTTGACATAAGTGTCAGTCAGGGCCTCAGGGGCGTAGCTAGAGAGTAAGAAGGGGGTTCCATGTCACTCTCTTGATTTGGAAAAACACACCAAAACTTAGTGGTATTGATATACCAATAATGAAACTAGAACCCCAAATTTAATGTTAATTGTCAAATTTTACAATTCAACAACTTCAATTATATAAGTTAGTTTTATCTACTAATTTCTACATCAATTCAGTCTAGTTTGTCAAAATGGATGAGAGGGTGCAGATTATTAGAGAAAATCATTAACTTTCTATGATAATATCGAAAGAGAAAATTGATTCCTATCGATATATTTGCTTGTGCAATTAGGTTTAGTTTGCTAATACTTTTTGTCAATAAACATGTTGATTATAAAAAATTATTTCAATGCACCCCTTAAATGAAATTCTGGCTACGTCACTGGCATCAGTCGTATTGTTTTAGGAACCCTTGTCTCTGTCGACCTCCTTTCCTATTTATAGGAATGTGGTTTTAACCACATTAGAGAACCGTATTCTTGATAACTGCTACAAAGAATCGTTCCCTCTTCTCGAAGTGGTGGTTGCTTCTTCAACCGCCTAGTTGCCTCTCTTGGAACTGTCATCTTGGTATTTGTCTCCTCTTGACTAGGAATGGCAATGGGGCAGGTCAGGGGTAAGTTTCTTAGTACCCTGACCCACCCCGTGGCAGGGAGGGTCCAGGTCGGGTAGTTGATCACGGATCGCGGGTCGGGGCAGGTCGACCCAATGGGCATGCAATTTATAAGAAAAACATTAGAAATATTCATTATTTTTATTACAAGAATAAGAAAACAAACAATATTATGACAATTGTAGTTAAATTATTGGAGAAATAGAGGTTTTCACTAATTTACAACTTTATTATAGCTAAAATATGATGCAATAGAAGGAAAATTCAAAGTAATTTGACTAAGATTACATGTAATTTAGACAAGAACGAGTCGAGAATGGGGCGGGTAAGGGCAGGTCGGGTCGATGAGACTACCCATGCCCGCCCCGCCCCGCCTACGGGACGGGTCGGACCCGCCCAAAATAGGTCGGGTAAAACGGGTCAGGTCGAAATTGCCATCCCTACTCTTGACCATGCCATGGAGCCGCGACCGCATGATCGTCTCTTGCGATCAACGTGATCGTGTCAAGCGACCCACGAGGTCGTCTCTCACGACTAGCGTGATCGGATCTCGCGACCAGCGTGGTCGGATCTTGCGACCAACGTGGTCATGTTCCAAGACCAACGTGGACAGATCTCGAGACCAATGTGATCGGATCTCGCACATGGACTTAGTCGTTTGGGCTTAAAAATCTAGTACTATGAGGCCTTGATTAAATAAAATTAATAGTTGATCTAATTTTCAGATTGATAGTGATAAACATGACGTGCATTATTCATCATAGCTTTAAACGATACAAGGCGAATGTCTGCGAATATTTTTTTGTTTGTTAGAACTCGTCAAATGCAAGAAAATATATTAGTTTTTTTATATTATTATTATCATGATATTATAGATTTTTGTTATTAATTATACAAGTCTAGATGAAAAGGACTTTGAATCCAAACAGTGTTGTAGTGACTAGTGATATAATATATTAGTATTATTGATGATTGAGATGGATTAAATTATAAGAATACTAAGGTGGTGAACATTTCAAGAGAAAGGATAACATCACAACAATTTTGGAAATTAAGTGTATATAGTAATATATTCAATAGAAAAAAAAAAAGAATTAACGTTGGTTCAACCTATTCAAAACTAAGTAACGTATGCTAGGTTGTCAATCCGATTTAGCCAGTTGCCCCGATTGAACAAGTAGGTTGAAAGTTAATGGTTAAACCATTTTGGCCCATAACTCCATTTGAAGAATTGAAGGAAACGGCGATTGACATGGCCGATATATGAAAAAAATCATTATATTGTTCATACATTTGTAAATTATATCAAATATCATCTAACATATATGAGTAATAACATATAATTTACATCAAAATAACATGTTGTAGTTGGATCCAACACATAGTAAAATTCACACCAATGTAGTCAAAAGCGAGTTTCTACGTAGAAATGTTTTGGTGATCTATAAGCGTAAAATCGTAAATTTTTAAGTTTTAAGCGGAGTTTTTAACTACAAAAGTTATAAAAATTGAGTTTTTGTGTAGAAGCGTTTTAGTGACCTAAAAACGTAAAATCGGGGTAATTAGCATAAATGGTAACAAACCTTTGCACTTAGTACAAAACGGTCACAAACCTTTAATTTGTAACAATACGGTAACAAAACTTTGAAATTGTATAAAATGGTCACCGCTATTTAATTTGTGACCGTTTTGTTTTAAGTGCAAAGGTTTTACCGAATCGTTACAAATTAAATGTTTGTCATGTTTTGAGGTCGGGTAGTTTGTTCGTTAAGTATATGACACTAAACACTTGAACGACATATATGATGTCAGGTCATGTGTTCATCGACATATTTGCTTTGCCGAATAAGAATGCCCTCAGTTGACCTTTCAATTTCGATACCAAGAAAGTAAGAAAGTAGACAGAGTTTTTTCAACTAAAAAGCAGTCCGGAACCCGTTTGTGAGCCATTGAATTCTCTCATTGTCATCCTTTATGACGATCATATCATTCACATACATTAACAAAACTACCATACAACTAGAACGAATTGTAACGGTGATTGAGCGTTCAAACTTTTGAACTTAATTTGTACAAAACGGTCACCAAAAGTCTAATTTGCAACGACACGGTAACAAAAGTTTGAACTAGTATGAAATGGTCACACTGTTTAATTTGTGACCGTTTTGTTCTAAGTACAAAGTTTTGTTATCAAATGGTTACAAATTAAAGGTTTGTAACTATTTTGTACTAAGTGCAAAGGTTTGTGACCATTTATGCTAAATACCCGTAAAATCGTAAGTTTTTAAGTTTTAAAGCGCGATTTTGACTACATTGATTCACACACATTATACTTATTTATATAACATCAAATTCAAACATTCAACTTAGAATTCCAAAGATTGGGTTAGGCAAAAAGGAATACCGGAAAACAGGTGCATTTTCCGAATCAAAGGAAAAACTACACATTTTGACCTCCAACCCGGTACCTTACAGCGTGGATCCGACAGATGTGTGTGCCCATTTTTCTTACTGAATCAGGATCAAAATAGGTCAATCGACGCAATGAGCTGATCCGCGGGTTGATAACTTACCTACGCGCGCTACGTGACAATACTTTACTCTTATACTAAATG